CTGGCTCGAGCGAGGTCTACACTAGCATAACTATAACGCAAGCAGCACGAGATCTGCCACATTTCTATGCCTGTGCGTGGTGCGTGCGTGGTGCGTGCGTGGTGCGTGTGTGTGGTGGTGGTGCGTGCGTGGTGGTGCGTGCGTGGTGGTGTGTGCGTGTGTGTGTGTGGTGCGTGGTGTGTGCGTGCGTGCGTGGTGTGGCGTGCGTTGTGTGTGTGGTGTGTGTGTGTGTGTGTGTGTGTGTGTGTGTGTGTGTGTGTGGTGTGTGTGTGGTGTGTGGTGTTGGTGTGTGTGTGTGTGTGTATGCATACACTTTTGTTTCGTGCTCTGTGCAAATCGAGCAAAGGACTGACCAAAACTGACAAGACATCATATTGGAGTGATAGCAAGCAGCAAACGCCGCGGGAACTGCATCTCTACGCATCTACACCGTCAAAATGGTATAAAACTTGAGTAGACCTCTTACTTTGTGAGCCCCTATAGTTTAGGGCTTCCTCCCCATATCTATACACTTCAAATCACAACATAAACACGAACACGCAAACACAATAACCTTTGATTGGACAGCGCTGGTTGTTGTTTTGGCTTAGCAAAAACTAGACAATTCTTTGGCCCTGCAGAAGACATCATTAGCATCACATACTGTGAAAATACAATCAACACAGTAAATCACAATACTGCACGCCAGTGGCCCAGCACATGTGTCGTTCATCAGTGTCTTGTTCCTTGGCTGAATGATTTATTTGCGATGCTGCTCCAAGAAAAAGTTCAAAAGTTTAGTTCATTGTTTTCCTTAGAAGTGGTTTGTGCTCATGTATGAGCAATGTTTCCATAATGGTGCCCTTCCGTAAGGTGCCCTTTTGAGACGTCGGGACAAAAATATGGTAGCTACGCCATTGTAGGACACGGAACTTGCAGCCACACCCGGCAACGGTCAACGGATGTGTGAAAATGACCACACATCGGAAATCAGTACTTTTCAACGCTTTATGAAATCAATCGGTATGCGTTCAAAGGTGTCCAGGGTCGAGAGTTCACCAGTGCAATTCTTAGATTGGCACTCAAGGCGAACTACCACAAAGAGCACCACGAACGTGGGCACGATGGCCTAATCTCTCTTGCTCGTAATGCTGCAACTGCTAAATACGTTCAGAGAATCAACTGGTCAACCAACTGACTTGCACTGATCAAATGCTCTGGTCAGGAGCTGAAGGGCATTCCGTCCCATTCCGGGTTCCTTAGCGGCTGCTATGCTGGTGGTAACCCCGAGTCCCTATAGAAACCCTCAGAAGGATGCATCACAATCGGTCCCTTCCTCGATGCGTCTGGTCCTATGACTGGGACGTCCAGGGGCGGATCGGCGCAGGGGACCTCGCTGCCGCAAACAGACACTTTGCCGGCACAGGAAGTCAAATAACTGGTACCGATACATTTATTCACCCTATCATTCCCTGGTTGAAATTCGCCTTCTCGGCCCCGCCTCACCGGCCCGTAGTCACTTCATGTCCACAGGTCCGAGATCACGGGATGACGACAACGATTGAGTTTGTAACATCTATTACACCTCTGCATCCCGCTTTTGATATATTTTGAACATCACGATATTTTTATTCTTTCATAACAGTCAAAGCAAAAACCGCAACAGCCATCAGGCATCAGCTGATCACATCGACCAGCCGGCTAGCCGTAAATGAGTTGGGAATCAGGCTCGTGCTTGATTTTGATGGTATTTGGCAGCCAACTTGAACGCATTCTGTCATGTTTGTTTTCATGCGACCAAAAGTAGCGAGACGGAACAGGACGGGATCGGACACGATCAGAACAGTACTGGGATTGACCACACGACCACGTTTGACCACGTCTGGTCCCGTCTGCTCCGTGTGTTTCCATCTAGTCCATCTGGGCTGGAATGGTTCCATCCGGTCACGTGCAGTATCATATGGTTCCGCTCGGTTCCATCTGGTTTGTTCTCATCACATTCGGTTCCGTCCTGTCCTGTCCAGTCCTTTAAAGTCCCGCTCAGTCCCGCCGGATTCCATCCGGCTCCTCCAGTCCCATCCCATCGCGCCAGGCCCCATGCGACACTTTCCGGCCCTGTCTCACCTCATCCGATTCTGACACGTTTCTTCCGATCTACCGGTCCGGTCCGTCTGGGTTCGTTACACCCCAACTGGCAACGTTCCGTCCCGTCCAGTAATGTCCGGTTTCTGTCGGTCACACCCGATGGTGTCCGATATCGTGTGATCCCGTCCGGTTTGGTTCCGTCACTTCCGGGCCTGTTCGCTCCCATGCAGCCCCTCCGGTGTCATCCGGTTCCGTCTAGCCCCACGGCGTTTCATCCGATTCCATCCGGTCCCTTCTGATCGTGTCCGGCCCGGTTGTACTGTTTGGCTCTATCCAGTTTCGTCTGATCCTGTCTGTTCCCGTCCTGTGCCGTCCGTTCTAGTGCAATTTAGTGCGGCCCTGTGCGATGCCATTACAAAGTTGCCAGTGATTTTTGGTTTTATGACGTCACCAAACAGCCAGCTGAAAGTGGGATCTCGTATTCTTGTATGATCTTGTATTCCCCATCTTCGCAGAGCAAAGTTTTGAACTAGATGATATGGGTTGTCATTGCCTCTGCTGATACCAATATAATGTGGATTTTGTTCTAAACTTGGGTGTAGGGGAGACTGTAGTAATAACCCTTTTCTCGAAGGTAAACCAGGAGAGTGGGAAGATGGGTGCAGTGACATTTCGGCAACGTGACGAGGCCGGTGGCTGTTCGTTTGAATCAAGGCATGCTGCCAAAGTATCAGCACATATATCCGTTTGCCCGTTTTTTCTGCAAGGAATAAGACTTACTACTGTCTTTTCTACATGCAGGATGTTCCTTGCAAGTTCATTCGACAACTTATGCAATTCTCAGATCATGAAACATGGTTCT